AAAAAAAAAAAAAATCAATCAAAACTCAAATTTAACTCAATTGTAATCTAACCTCACTATCTTTAATATTATAATATAATTGATGAGTTTTATCAATACATGGCCCGAAAGATAGGTAAACTATCAATGTGGGGTTTGAAAGATTTTTTTTTCAATTCGAGACTTAAATGTTATAAAATTATCAAATTAAATGCTCGAAAGATGGGTAAACTATCAATGCAGGGCCTGAAAGGTTTTTTTTCTCAATTCGGGACTTAAATGTTATAAAACTATCAAATTAAGTCTAGAATTAACAAAACTCATAACACCATTAAATTTAGAATTTTTTTTTTTAAAAAAAAATTGGTGTTTAAATTTAGAGTTTAAAAAATATATATAATATTTAATTATTATATTTTATTTTCACATTCATTCACATTTTTAAACTATCAATGCATATGAATGGAATTTCAATAAGCATAATAGTCAATTTAAATATAAAAATCATATTAATTATTTACTTAATAACTTGCTTTATTCTTTTTAACAACAAACACAGATATTTATGAGGACAATAATATTATAAATACTCAAAAGTACGACTGATTATGAATTATGTAAAAATGCTTGAATGAAAAAGTGAGTTAAAAAGTAGAAAAAAAAATTGATGGAAGAATGTAAAATTTTAAAAAATGTGAATGAATATGAAAATAAAATGTAATAATTAAATATTATATACTTTTTTTAAAACTCTAAATTTAAACACCAATCTTTTTTTTAGACTCTAAATTTAATGGTGTTATGAGTTTTGTTAATTCTAAACTTAATTTGATAATTTTATAACATTTATGTCCTCAATTAAGAAAAGAAACCTTTCAGGCCCCGCATTAATAATTTACCCATCTTTCGGGTCTTTAATTTGATAGTTATATAACATTTAAGTCACGAATTGAGAAAAAATCTTTCAAGCCCCGCAAATAGTTTCGGCCGAGCTTGTGTTGGCCGCATTGGCGGCCGGCCAGATCATACCTGGCCGAAAAGACCGGCGGCAATCGCCGGTCGTCCGGCTCCAGTCTGGCCGGCAGGCCGACTTTTTTTTTTTTTTTTGCAATTTTTTTAATTAAAGAACTTTAAAATATTATAAAATATATTATAAAAATTTATATATTAATATATATTTTATAATAAATTAAAAATAAATGATTAAAATATATTAATAATATATATATATATATTAAATTAATATATATTAAATTATATATGTATATAAACTATTTGTACATATAAATTACTTTGTAATTTTTTTTATTTTTCATGGTTTTTAATCTTTATTAATCAAAAATTGTTAAAATATTATAAATATATTTAAATAATTACATATATATTATTATATATTTTATAATAAATTAAAAAAAATAATTTTGTTTGATTAATAATTAAAATATAATAATAATTTAAATTAATATATATATAATTATATATATTAGTACTTTCATATATAATATTATACATTCATCTATATGAATATATATTAATTTAGATTAATAATATTATTTTTTATATACTAATACACTTTTTTTCATTATAATTAATTATATTTTATACTATCATAATTTATAATAATTATAATAATATAATATATTGAAATATAATATATTAATTTTATTAATATATATTAATATAAATTTATATATTATATTACATTTGTATGGATTTCCCTCTTCAACCAAAATCCACGATGAGTATTATAAATCGGGTATCCACTCGCAGGCCAAGCTTGTTACAAGATATGCTTTTTTTAGACAGATAGAGCGTAGAACAGGGAAAACCAGTGCAAAATGAGTGCAAAAAGGGAAAACCAAATATGCTTTTTTTTAGAATAGTTGTAAATTGTGAAGAGTTGTAAATTGCATGAGTTTTTGTTGACAAGGCGAAGTGTCTTCTGCAAATGTCAAAGTCATGACAAAGGACCTAAAGGCTTCATCCCTTTCCCAAAAGACTAATAAGTCAGTCATATTCATGAGCAATTTGAGATAAGTTAGTTGTGTTATATGTCATTCTAAATGAGAATTGCTAATAGAATACTCTGCCCATATTCAGGGAACCAAATGGGAAAATCGAAATGGATGACCCAGAAAAGACGAGGTCAAGGGTCGGCCAACTAATCGAGCAGCTGCAGTTGAGCACATCCTCCCCGCACGAGAAGGAGCTCACCACTGCTCGTCTGTTGGGCATAGCTCGGGCGAGAAAGGAGGCGCGTGCCCTCATCGGGTCCCACGGCCAGGCCCTCCCACTCTTCATCTCCATTCTATGGGACGGGACGCAGCTGGCGAAGATAAACGTGGCCTCGACATTAAGCGTCCTGTGCCGAGAAGGCGAGCTAAGGGTAAAAGTTCTTCTGGGCGGGTGCATCCCCCCACTGCTTTCCCTCCTAAAGTCTTCTGCTGCTCCCGAGGCCCGCAAGGCGGCTGCCGAGGCCCTGTGCCAAGTATCTTCTGGTGGGCACGTCGGCATGAAGATATTCGTGACAGAGGGCGTGGTCCCCACCCTGTGGGACCAGCTCAATGTGGGGAACGACCGTGTGGTCGAGGGTTTTGTCGTTGGGGCACTGCGGAACCTGTGTGGCGACCAGGATGAGCAATGGCGGGTGACCCTCGATTCTGGCGGGGCCCACGTGATTGTCGGGCTTCTCCGCTCGGACAACCCAACATCTCAGTCTAATGCGGCTTCTCTTCTTGCCCGTCTCGTACTCGCTTTCCCTGATGGGATCCCCAAAATAATTGACTCTGGGGCTGTCAAACCTCTCATCGGCCTTTTGGGTCAAAAAAATGACATCTTGGTGAGAGCGAGTGCCGCGGAAGCACTGGCCGCACTTTCTTCCAAATCGGCAGAGGCTAAAAAGGTCATAGCCAATGCACAGGGGGTGTTAGTGCTTATCGGGGCCGTAGTTGCCCCTTCTAAGGAAGGCCTGCAAGGAGAGTGGGCCCGTGCACTTCAGGACCACTCCACGCAGGCTCTGGCCCATATATCCGGTGGGATGCCGGCTCTGCTGCTCTATCTCGGGGAGCTCTCGCAGTCGCCAAGGTTGACCGCCCCAGTTGCTGATATAATTGGGGCGCTTGCTTATGCGCTGACGATTTTCGAGCTGGGTGAAGATGGGGAGCCCTTTTCCGATTCGGCTAAGGTGGAGAATATTTTAATCATGCTCTTGAAGCCCAGGGATAACAAGCTGGTCCAGGAACGTCTTCTCGATGCCCTTGTCGGTCTCTACGAAAACTCCTACTTGTCAAGTGGCGTGATTAATAATGCGGACGCGAAAAGGGCACTCGTGGGGCTAATAACAATGGCGACCGGTGACACCCAAAAATATTTGATTGTGTCGCTGATAAAATTATGTACGGGGGATGTGAGTGTATGGGAGGCCTTGGGAAAGAGAGAAGGGATTCAGATACTGATCTCGGCTCTCGGTTTGTCCAACGAGAAAAACCAAGAGTATGCGGTCGAAATGCTAGCGATCTTGACCCAACAGCTGGACGACAACAAGTGGGCCATCACAGCTGCGGGCGTAATCCCCCCGCTCGTCTGTTTAATACAAGTCGGGTCCCACAAGGCGAGGTTGGATGCCACCCATATTTTATGGAAACTGGGATGTCATGGTGAGGATATTCGAGCATGCGTGGAGAGTGCGGGGGCCATACCGGCCTTCTTATGGCTCCTAAAAAATGGTGAGCCAAAGGGGCAAGAGGCTGCTGCTGTGGCTCTATTAAAGCTTGTCTGGGTCGCTGATTCATCCACAGTCAACCAATTGCTAGCCATGCTCGTTGGTAACTCACCGAGTTCCAAGGCCCATGTCATCAAGGTTCTGGGGCATGTACTCTCCAGGGCATCACTTGCCGACCTCGTGGAAAATGGCGCCTTCGGTAATGTGGGCCTGAGATCACTCGTCCAGGTTCTTAATTCAACCAACGAGAAGACTCAGGAATATGCGACAGCAGTTTTGGCAGATTTATTTCGTAACCGACAAGATATACGCGATGGTCTCGCTGCAGATGAAGCCATCAGCCCTTGCCTAAATCTCATAGCCAACAAACCTCACTTAGCATCCCCAGGGCTTGGTGCTTTGTCCGGTCCGGCCAAGATCAAGACCAACAACAAGGCATCCTGCATTGTGGAAGGTGACGTTAGTTCCATAATCAAGGTGGCAAAAACAGCATCCATTGATTTTGCTGAAAATTCCATGGCGACATTAGCTAATTTATTGAGTGACCGGCGAGTGGCCGTGGAGGCTCTGGCTGAGGACGTTGTTACGGCCATAACAAAAGTTTTGCACGAGGGTTCCTTGGAGGGAAAAGTGAGTGCTTCATGTGCTCTTTACCAATTACTTAAACACTTTCATGTGAGTGATGTGCTTACGAAGAGGTCTCAGTGTCGGTTTGCTATCCTTGCGGTTGTTGATTCTTTGAATGCAATGGATATCAACAGCAAAGATGCAATTGATGCCTTGGAAGTAATCGATATGTTATCTAGGACGAGGCAGGGTCTCAATGAGGTTCCATCAAGCTTAGGACCGCTTGTGCGCTGCCTGTGTGAGGGTCCGCCTCAGGTGCAGGATAATGTGATTGGGATCCTGTCTAGACTGTCCAAGGATCAGCCAGTCTTGCTGGGCGACTTACTAGTCTCGAATTCAAGGTCGATTGGTGCTTTGGCGGGTAGAGTGACGAAATCAAACAGCCTGGAGGTAAGGGTCGGGGGAACTGCACTACTGATTTGTGCTGCAAAGGAACATAGGTCTAAGTCGATGGATGCACTTGGGGCATCTGGATACATGAAACCACTTACTCATGCATTGGTGGATATGATCAAGCAGAATCCCACTTCTTCGTATATGGAAATTGAAGTAAGGACCCCGAGAAGTTATAGAGATAGATCTGCTTTCCGAAATGGAAATGAATTTGATGTGTCCGATCCTGCAACTGTCTTGGGAGGGACCGTAGCCTTGTGGCTGCTATCCATAGTTTCTTCTTCATATCCAAAGAACAAAAGCACTGTGATGGAATCTGGTGGGCTTGACGCCTTATTCGACAAGATTGCAAGACATGCCAACAGAGATTTTGTATGGTGAACAGTTGTCTTCATTCACAATTTTGTTGAATTTTCTACTAAATTTAAATCTGCATTTATTTACTTCATGCTTCCATTAGGATTCAATTTAGCTAAATTTTTGTTGGAATATTTTATATTGAGAAAAAAAAAAAAAACTGAGTTACTCCTCCCATTATCAATTGGTTTGGGATGTGTTAATTCCTTAGACTATGTATAAAAATTAAATAGTCACCATATGCCATATTATTGTTAGTGTTACTACATTATTGAAAAGCAGTTTGCTTATGGAAAATGTTTCTATCTTTCCAGGCAGAATTAGAGGACACAGAGGGATTATGGATCAGCACTGTTCTTGCAGCTATACTTTTCCAGGATGCTAACATTGTCTCCTCCCCTATGGCCATCAGTTTCGTGCAGCCACTCGCCACTCTCCTCAAGGCAAATGAAATCATTGACAGGTTTTTTGCCGTTCAAGCAATGGCTAGTCTTGCGCGCCATGGAAACAAGGGAATAAATCTTGCGATAGCAAACACGGATGCAGTGGAAGGCATAATAACCTTAGTGGGGCACTTGGGACCTTCAGACATGCCGAATTTGTTGGCCTTATCTGATGAATTTGGTCTAGTCAGAAATCCAGACCAGGTGGTCCTGGAGAATTTATTCCAAATTGATGATGTCAGAGTAGGTTCTCTGGCTCGGAAGACCATTCCTTGTCTTGTGGACCTGTTGAGACCGATGGCTGACCGGCCGGGGGCCCCAGTAGTCTCCATTAGCCTTCTGACCCAGATTGCAGATGGAGATGACAGCAACAAACTAGTGATGGCCGAGGCCGGAGTCCTGGATGCCCTCACCAAATACCTATCCTTGAGCCCTCAGGACCTGACAGAGGCAACCATATCCGAGCTATTGAGGATACTCTTCAGCAATCACCATCTCCTCCGCTACAAAGCAGCAATCACCT